GCAGACGCTGCACGTGGACTTCTGCCGCAACGTGAGCGCCGCCGGCCTGCGCCACTTACGCGCCGCGTGCCCGCGCCTGACGCTGCGCGCCGAGCACAGCGCGGCCATGATCCCGGACCGGCTGCCGCGCGGAGCGCTCGGGCGCGGCCCCGCTAGGCCCGGGGGCCCGAGCCGCGAGGTGGACCTGGCTTCTGAGCCTCAGTTTCCCCAATCAGCGAGAGCGGGAGAAGAGGGTCTGCCTCACACTACGATTTAGCCATCTGTCTGCTCGAGATTAAATGAAAGGTTGCCTGGGAATGCCTCGGGTGCTGACTCACTGAACGCTAGCGCCTTTCCGGCCTACCTTCCGGTTTGATCTTGCCGTCACCAACGTGGAGGATTGCGGCCGCCATCCGAGTCCGAAGTGTGACCACGTGGCGGGCGGTGCGGTCCTTCTAGGGTGGCTGCTGGGGCTGGGGGATTAAGGTGGGATGCGCGCCAGGCAGGCGAGGGCGGCGCTTATGGCCCGCTGCGTGCGGGGCACTCTGGGAACCAGGCGGGGCGAACGCCCGGCTGTGTTGGCAGCCTGTTTAAGCCCCTTGACAAGCTGTTGGGAAGCTGAATTTGGACCTGCTGAGCGCCTGGACTTCGATTGGCTTGAGAGCGTTAGCTACAGGTGACCCACATCTAGTCAGCAAAGTAAGGGCTCCAGGCCATCTGGCAGCCTCCCAGTCGGTGCTAGGGACACCTGTTAAGGTGGTCCTAGGATCCTGGGGAAAACCTTTGTTAAATAGGGAAGGCAGTAGGTGGTGGGTGATACCCTGCCCGGCTCCCCGCGGTGAAAGGGGATCTTAAAAAAAATCACTTTACTGGTGACTTACAGTTCTTACCACAATCTATATCCATCCCTTGTGTCAAGCACATTTGTTGCCATCAAATGTTTTCTTTCTACTTGAGCCCTTGGTATCAGCTAATTTTTCCCTCCCTCTTCCATGATCCCTTGACAATTTATAAATTACTTTTTCACGCCTTACATCATGCGATGTCTCCCTTCACCCACTTTTCTGTTGTCCATCCTGTGCCCGTGTGGCTGGACCAGAGATGGAGATGTAAGGAATGAGGGTGGCTTCTGAGTGGCTAGGTTATTGTGGGAATCAAAGGGCCCTGGAGTCCCCCCACCCCCGCCAACTGCCTCAATACCCCAGCAATGCCCCTGGGGGAGCCAGCACCTCTCCCACCGCCTGAGGTGGAGGAGGGAAAGCCCCATTCCAGGCTTCCTGTGATTCCCCCCAATTTACCCACCATTTCTCTGGGCTCTGGAGGGAACGAGCATTGGCAGGGACTTAATTTCCTCCCACTGAAAGCATGCCCAGGCCTTCAGGAAGCTAAAGTCAACCACGGGCTTGGCTTCCATTAGCTTCAACAACCCCAAAGGCCTGAGTTGGAGGGTTAGCGCGGCGGATAAGGTAGGCCTGGGCTGTGGGCTCTAATGGATCCAGTATCTAATCCCTCACCCTTGATTTTTTTGCCCTATGAGGGTAGGTCAACTCTCTCAAAACCCCAGCTTGACCTGTACTGGGAACCACTGGAGAAGCTGGCTTATTGAATTCCTGAGAGGATTAGGAGGCTGTGTTTGTAAGCAGGGGTCCCTAGACTCAGCTGGATGGGCTGACCTTTGCCTGGCAGAGTTCATAAAGGAGATATTAACCCCCACATACCAAGATCAACAGATGCAGGATGAATGCAGTCATGAGGCCCTGTTGAATGTTTTTGGGGGCGGGGATGAGGGGAGGTTTAGAAAGTTTGCTGAAAAGTGGAATTCAAAGACCACAAATTTTTCATTAACTTCTTGAAGCCTCACTCTTAAATTCTAAGCTCCGTTTGGCCACAGAACCCCTGCCAAGCGGGGTTCCTGGCTGGAGGCTGGAGGAAGCTGTCCCAGAAGATGGGCAGGATGGCCCACAGCTGTCGACCAGCACCAGCTACTAATGCTTGACAGATGAAGCCTGCTTCCTGGGGTCACCTGACTCATGGTAACCCCCCTAGCGGGTAAGCTCAACAAGGCTCCACAGGGTTTTCTTGGCTGTCATCTTTTTCTCTTTTACACCATTTTATTGAGGGCTCTTACAGCTCTAATCACAATCCATACACCCATCGTGTCAAGCACATTTGTACTTATGTTGCTGTACGGCCGGATCAATACCAGGCCGGCTTCTAGCAGCAAGTGACCTTGAATCTCCCCCACCCATGCGGAGCTGACCAGAGCTGGCTGAAACAACTAGCAGCAAGTAACCTTGCATCTCCCACACACACCTGTGGAGCTGACCAGCGCTGGCTAATGGCCCGCTTTGTTCTTGGCCTGCAGCTCTTGACCCTCCACTCTGCACCCGGCACGAATACATCGGAACCAGGAAGACACCTTACATTCCAGAAACCCAGACCTACCTGTCCATATATAAGCATCACCCCTGTAGCCTGCAGGACTGTGGGACTTCGCCCAGGCGGGGTTTTTCTCCCCAATAAAGCCTGTTTGTTCTAATTCAACTGATTTGGTTTCTGGCGCCTCTGGACTACCTTAGTTGCCATCATTTTAAAAACATTTTCTTTCTACTTGAGCCCTTGGTATCAGCTAATTTCCCCCCTCTCCCCCATGAACTCTTGATAATTTATTAAAAAATTGTTCATGTCTTACACTGAGACTGCTGTCTCTGCTCACTTTTCTGTTTTCCATTCCCCTGGGAGGGGATTATAGATAGATCATCGCTACTCTCATTATTGGTCCTGAGGGGTTCTACTTGCCCTGGATCCCCTGTGTTGCTAACTCTTATCTGCACCAGTGGCCGGTGCTCTGGTTGAGCCAGGTTGTGAGTAGAATTGAGGGGAGGGCTGTAATCTTCACAGAAGCAGATTGCCAGGACTTTGTTCAACGGCACTGCTGGGTGGGGTAGCTAACAAGTGGTCTGCGCCACCCAGAGGCCTACGTGGCAGAGCACGGCGCCCTATATGATTGTAAAAACAACTTTTAAAGTTTGATTAATTAATCCACAGACTGTTCATCGGGCTCCTACCGACCTGGGAAACAGTGCTGGGCGCAGGGCACCAAGCCTTGAAGGTCAGAACAAGGCTGCTCCTTAAGGGCCTCTAGAGAAATCTTCAAATTTAAAGACAGAGGATCCAAGTTCTCTCCAGATTGCTTAAGGGCCCTAAAAGCTGAGTATTCGTTAACAGGTCAGCACACAGCGGTCCGCCCAGCCTGTCAGGGAGAGTAGAACTGCCCCGGAGGTTTTCTGAGCTGTGGTCTTCATGGCAGCAGCAGGGCCCCAGGACTTAGGGTAGGTTCAAACCCTTTCTTTTCCGGAGCAGCTGAGCATGTAACTGTTGCCTCCACAGGAGCTCAAAGAGCACCTGGGCCTTTTCCACTCCTCAGATCAAACTCAAGCTCCTCCCTCTCCCCCCGAGCAGCCCAAAGTCTAGGGGAAAAAGAAAGGGCAAGTAAAGCCACCGGCTGGCACAGTGCGCGTCACCCGAGTCCACCAGCTTCACAGAGCCTGAATCAGGGTTGCTGGTGGGGCTGCCCTGGCCCCCGGCCCCCTGGGTCACAGCAAGCTGGTAGCCAAGGTCAGAATTAAAAAACATGGGCCGGGGGGAGGGGAGGGTGCTTCAAAAAGCCTGTGGAAAAAGAATATATAATGGAATGTTTCCACAAACTGGTTGAAACATGCTTGTACATATCCACATGTTCTGAGTACTAGGTTATGTGATTCGGCTCATGTTCAAACCTATCTAATTCACACACAGTAGCCTCACTGACTGTCCAGCTTCCTGTTGTTCAGGGACCTGCTTCCAAAGGGACTCTCCCTTTTCCCTCCTGCAGCTGCAGTTAAGGAGGACTGGTTTTCGAGCATCTGGGAACTGGGATGCATTGCATGTTGCTATTTTCTAAAGAAAGTGGAACAATTCAGCAACCGAGTCACATCTGACACAGAAGCCTGGATGCTGACACCCCCAGTGGAAGTTCACTGCACTGGTAGGCAGGAGAAGTTCACATTCAAACACAGGTGGTACACACAGGAGTCAGTAACACAGGTACCTAGGGCCATCAAGCAAGGGTGTGATAGGTACCATTAAACGTCTGGTAAGCGCATTTACTTTGCACACAAGATACATGAGATACTGTGTGGAGTGTAGGAAGCCAGTATGTGCACGGCATTAGGTCATGTCTATTACATCCTGTTCTCCACTCGGGATTCCTCCACTGACCTCTATGTGGCTGGCGGTTACCTGAGGAATAAATGTTCTCCACAAATTATTTGAAAGGTTTCGCTCCCCTTTTGTCTTTGTGTGTGTGTGTGTGTGTGTGTGTGTGTGTACAACCGCATACATATGCAAACATAGATACATAGTTTCAGTTACCTAGTGCTGCTGTATTAGAAATAGCACAAGCAAATGATTTTAACAGAAATTTATTTTCTCACCATTTAAATAACTCGGTACCATTGCGTCCATTCCAATCCACAGTGACCCGGTGGTAGAAGCTCCACAGGGTAGAACAGGGTAGAAGCTCCCCTGTGACTTTCTGGGGCTGTAACTCTTTACAAGAGTCGAAAGCCCTGTCTTTCTCTCGAAGAGTGGATTTCGGAGGTTCAGAGCACCTGCTGAACGGGGAAACCTTTCTCTGTCAGCCTGAGAAAGGTCATTCTCTTTTCAGCTGCTTCTGCTTCATGGTTCCCTGGAGATCTGAGTGCCTTTGTCTCTGTCTGTCTGTCTCTCTTTCATACAAACCTTGTCCATTAAGTGCACTGGAAGCACGTATGACAAGATACTTGCTGTAGGTGAAGGCAACAGGTCACCCACCCAAAAGTCATGGCAGTGAAAACCTTCATGGCAGCTCATTCACACACTCGCACAACACACACACACACACACACACACACACACACACACACACACACGCACACACACACACACACTCAGACACCCCTGCACACCTGAGTGCAGCACCCTGGAGTTTGCAGATGGGGTGGGGCCAAATACCAGTTCCCTGCTCTCTCCCACCACCCAGCCTTCAAGGAAACAAAAGCCATTCATTCAGTCTCATTCATTCACAAGCTCAGGCATACATGCGAAAGGTCCACAAGCAATTTCTCTGCCTCCCCTTCCTCCTCCTTGGCTGCACTCTCTGCAGAGAGGAGGTTATAAACGGCCCTGCTCTTTAATCCCACTGGCGAATTATTGTGTCCTCTCAGATTCTTCACAGGCAGGGCCAGACGATGGACGTCCTTCTTGCTGAGCAGAGCCCAGCCCCACACTAGGTGCGCCGGGGCTGTCCAACAGGGTTGTTGTTAGCGTGCTGGACTTCAGGCCAACTGTGGCAAAGGGGCTCACGACATTTCCCTACACAGCCAAGGCCATCGCACAGCAGCCCGAGGACTGCTGCGTGGCCCCGTGGAAAGAGCACAGTCACTGGAATTAGACTTGGGTGGATTTCAGCCTCAACCGCTCCACTTACTAAGGCAGCCTCAACTTATTCATCTGTAAAAATGGGGATGATACCAAATTTAAAAGCAAAAACGAAACCAGCTGCCATTAAGTCACGCCTTGACCCCTGACGTCCACATGTCAACACGACGGGGCTCTGCAGGGCCTGCAATGAATGGCTTCAAAAAGAAGAGGTACAGGGGGCTGCCAGGCTTTCCTGTCAGTGCCTCTTGGTGGGCTCAAATCTCCGACACCTGTTAGCAGTCTTCCTGTAATAACACATTAAAGCATGGACAAACTCACTGCCGGGGAGTCAAAGCTGACTTGCAGCGACCCCTTGTGGGTTTCTGAGATAGTAACTATTTACGGGAAAACAAAGCCCCGTTTTCTCCCTTGAAGCTGCTAGGGGTTTCAAACTGCCAACCATGCACATCACAGCCCAACGAGTAACCCCTATAACCACTAGGGCTCCTCACATTCGCTCTGGCTAATTTTCTTTCCTGATCCAGAGGAGAGGTCTGGCATGATTACTGTATATATTTGAGCATAAGCCGGCCCAAATACCTGCTGAGGCACCTAAATTTACCACAAAAAACTGCATTAAAAATGTGCTGGAAACCTCGGCTTATACACGAGTATATATGGTATGCTATCTACAGAGGAGGCAATAATCAGCCTTGCAGTTCTGCCTTCTAATGAACCAGAGAAACCTCCAAAGGCATATGCTTCCGACAGCGGCAGGGAAGGGGCGCTGACCCAGCCACAAGGGGAGGCAGCTACCACAGACTCTTCCACCGGCTCCCAGGGTCTCAGCCCTGCACACGGCACTCTGGGGATGGGTGAAGACCCTAGATGACAGAAAGAAGAGCCCAGGGACGTCGATGGCCATAAGGTCATCTCCTATGCATTTCTGCAAGGCCTCGGTGACGTGCCCTCTGTGGGAAGGGCTGCCCCATCTCTGGGTGAGAGCGAGCAGCCGCAGGCTCCTCTGTACTAACGTCCACTGGTACTAACACAGGCAGCCCAGGCTCTGATTCCTGAATTTGCTTTATTTCTTTGTATAAGGAACCCTGCACAGGCAATTCAAATTAAAACAAAATAAATATATGAATATTCATGTAAAACTGTCCTTCCTAATGAACAATTATACACAATGTACAATTCCATGTTCACTTGGTGGGTTTACAAAAATGTACCATTCCCAACTAAAAAACGCACCAAAATAGTTCCATGCAAACTTATCAAAAGTGACCCAAAAATATGGAGGGAAAAACCTGACTGAGAGCACTTTGTCTTTTTTTTTTTTTTTTGGGGGGGGG